TTAGTACACAAGAGTTTTATTGTTGCGTTGCCACGTTAATGTGGGCAAAAACCTAATATTCTCGTGTTTTGTGATGATCATCTCGTTTAAAATTAAATAAAAATTTCGATTTTATCAAGACCCGAAAAAGAATAAACTTCGAATATAGTAACTTCAAATTTTATATCCCTTTGTAAGTTACGTCAGCGACAAGCTATAATCTATTAATTGTAGCTCTTATATTGTGGTTAGCGATTCGGAATATAATTGTGATATTAAAAATGCATTTAGAGAAGTCTACGGTTTTTACTGGCTTATCGAATAAACGGTACGAATGAACCCTAGACCATCACTGACGCGCAATTGACTGATTGCCCTTGGATGTCGGCTTTTTACTGAAACACAGCTTTTCTATCATTAATTGTCACGGCACGCCATTGGTAAAAACAATAATTCTCTTACCTGATCTACTTTTTAAACACAAAAACTGAACTTGTGTAACTGCAAAAATACTATACTGATACAGATATACATCTGATTTACTGATTTAAACACAGCACAGTCACTCGCTACTTCTCGAGACAAACTAACGTTAAAATTAAATGTTGTCAATAATTTAAGCTCAAAGCAGAACTATCAACACGTTACACGTGCAATTGTCTTTAATGATAATTGCTGCCTCAGCTTTTAGAAACGGTCGCGCGGTATATTACAAACAAAAACAATACCTTTGCGCTGTCACGTGAACAGCCTTTTGGCGAGCGCTCGCCAACAATGCACCTGCACCAAAAACCGAAATCAAAGGATACCGAAAGCATTTAGGCAGAGGCGTGCGATTAATATAAATCGTACACATCAATATGGGAATAACGTAGACCAATATTGAAAAGCGTTACGTAAAAATTTTTAATCATTGAATGGATTAAATATTATTTTGATTTCTCCGCTTATGCCGCCCCCTTACAGTGCTGCCTGATGTGGTTGCCTCTCTGCATCATAGCACGGTACGGCCCTGACAACATATACCATATAATTTACTCTGGAGGCACATTTATTTAAACAAACGTGTTAACAGGAATATCGCAGTCCGAACAAACTTTTCAGTTCCAATTTCGAACAAAGAAATACCTTAACATGTAAATTTGTATATCCGCAGCCGGAACAAACAATACAGTTTGAATATACGAGGATTCCTGTATTACGAATTAGAGCAAAATATATACCGTTCAAATTACTAATCGAGTAAATTAATATTAACTGTAATTAACACAGACAAGTATCTATGTAACAATTCTCTATTCAAGAGAATTTTATATAAAAAAGCACTAAAAATAAATATTTTCAGTTAAAAACAAGTAAAATATACTCTTTCTCTTCCGACTTCGAGTATATCCAAAACTAGCTGATATTTATATGAATATAATAGATGAAACAATTTCGAAGTTAACAGGTATTAAATACAGGGTGTCCACCATGAACCTGACACATAGCCTGTGTTTGACTACCATATCGAAGTGCAAGATGGTAATCAGATGTCATGCATTCCATTAGGCCAGGGGTTGCCAAAGTGGTCGATATCGACCCCCAGGGGTCGATGTAACACCATTCGGGGGTCGACGGTTAAAAAAGTTTGGCGACCCCTGCATTAGGCGGAGAAACTGTGGAAGTTGTATAGGTAATTTTGAAAACCCGCCAAAGTGACTGTAGGTGGCATGGTAGTAGTCAAACGCAAAATGGCTTCTCCACAAGATAGGGCACAAGTTGTGTGGTGGTACGCTAAAACAAATTCCAGCAGGATCCTCCACATTGGAGCCTGCATGTTCGATGTTTCCTCGACACATAGTTTCCCGGTTGTTGGATTGGGCGCAGAGGACCGATACCGTGGCCTCCTCGATCGCCGGATATTACGCTCTTAGACTTTTTCTTTTGGGGATTTGTTAAGGAAAAGGTTTACACCAGTATCAAAATTCGTGATCTTCAACATCTTGGTGTGCACATTCACAATGCTGTTGCTGCTGTCACGCCTGAGATGCTTGAAAGAACCTGGCAGGAAATGGAGTATAGACTCGATGTTCTAAGTGCAATAAAAGGAGCTCATGTAGAGGTTCACTGATTTTTTTAATAAAACGTTTTGAGTTTTTCATCCTTCCTGAGCGGTAGATTTTTTACAACAGTTTCAAATGTGTCAGGTTCATGCTGGACACCCTGTATTATGCAAGATATGTAGATGACATAATAATACTTTATGATTCTCAAACAGTTTCATCTAAATACATCGAGAACTATGCGAACAGACTACATAAAAATTTAAAATTTATAAGTGAAGATGAACAACAAAACGAGATGAATTTCTTGGATGTCATTATAACAAGAGAAGAAACAAGTGTATTATTTCGTAGTATGAAAAACTATGTAACAATAATAAAACTATTAATTATAAATCTTACTGTCCCATAGAAAATAAAAAAACGTATTTATTATGGAATTAAGAAAGATATTGTACCGAACAACTATGCAAGAAAATATAGATACTGAAATAAAACAACTGTTTAGAAAATTTCTGTTAAATGATTATCTGAAGTATATCCTCTGTAAGTGGTATAATTTCTATTTAAAATGTAGATTTAATGTTAAAAATGACATAAAAATATTTCTTATGTACAGTTTCCTTATGTTAATATTTTTGAAAAATATAAACCGATATTTAAAGAATTTTCTATATGCACAGTTGCTAATCAAAAGAATAAGATGTCAAACATTATCAGTGAAAATTCGCCCAGGGACCAATTTAAGATCGCCGGCGTTGTATACAGAATGTCATGTACATGTGGAAATCCAAATTATTACATCGGAGAAAGTGATAGATTGGATTTGAGAGTAAAGGAACACGAGGCGGCCATTAGACTGAGAAGGACAGAAACAACAAGGTTTTACATTGTAGAGAATTTAATTGTAATATAAATAGAAAAAATACTAATATATTGTATGAAATAGAAAATTGTTTAGAAAGAAAAATTGTCGAACATTTTTGCATCACCGAATATAAAAATGTACTTAATTTGAATACTGGGATGGTTGTTTATGCATGCTGAGAACCGCTGCAGGATAAAAAGTGTAACCAGCAACTGATATCTTCATGTATCCACTGAAGAGGCCTAAGGAAAAAAGGCGAAATGCATTTGTAATGTGTCAATTATATAATAAAGTCAATGGTAATGATAAAAGTTGAATTTATTTCTTGTCACTTATTTGCCGGTTTTGACCTGTAGAATCCTCGAAGTCGGAAGTAGAGAAAGTATATTTTTACNATACAGTAAAGCGTCGTTTATCCAAAAGAATTCCAGTTGGCAAATTTTAATTTTCGCTCGTGCTGTGGCGCTGCAATCTTTGGCTTTTGGGCTACTCCAATATTTTTTATGTTTGTGTATGTGTTTTAGCTGGCAGCATGGCACTTTTGTGTGGTGTTTTTCTGAGGACTGTGTGTCGTGCTCAATCGAACGTTTTTGATACTAGATTAACTTGTAAAATATAATTTTTTTGTTTTTATATTTTTCAATATTTTTTTTTTGTTTGTAAAAAATAAAGAAATAATTTTTAACGATACAACAGCCACGATTATCATTTTAAAAAGTTTATGATAGGCTTAACATCGACGAAAATTCAACGCAAAGCGGCACGCAACGGAGAAAAATTTCAACACGGGATAGGTTAATATATTTTTTCGTACATAATCGGTTAGCCGAACAACGGCAGTCCCCAATTGATTCGGATAAACGACGCTCTACTGTAGTTTATGATTCTCAAACAGTTTCATCTAAGTACATCGAGAACTATGCGAACAGACTACATAAAAATTTAAAATTTACAAGTGAAGATGAACAACAAAACGAGATGAATTTCTTGGATGTCATTATAACAAGAGAAGAAACAAGTGTATTATTTCGTAGTATGAAAAACTATGTAACAATAATAAAACTATTAATTATAAATCTTACTGTCCCATAGAAAATAAAAAAACGTATTTATTATGGAATTAAGAAAGATATTGTACCGAACAACTATGCAAGAAAATATAGATACTGAAATAAAACAACTGTTTAGAAAATTTCTGTTAAATGATTATCTGAAGTATATCCTCTGTAAGTGGTATAATTTCTATTTAAAATGTAGATTTAATGTTAAAAATGACATAAAAATATTTCTTATGTACAGTTTCCTTATGTTAATATTTTTGAAAAATATAAACCGATATTTAAAGAATTTTCTATATGCACAGTTGCTAATCAAAAGAATAAGATGTCAAACATTATCAGTGAAAATTCGCCCAGGGACCAATTTAAGATCGCCGGCGTTGTATACAGAATGTCATGTACATGTGGAAATCCAAATTATTACATCGGAGAAAGTGATAGATTGGATTTGAGAGTAAAGGAACACGAGGCGGCCATTAGACTGAGAAGGACAGAAACAACAAGGTTTTACATTGTAGAGAATTTAATTGTAATATAAATAGAAAAAATACTAATATATTGTATGAAATAGAAAATTGTTTAGAAAGAAAAATTGTCGAACATTTTTGCATCACCGAATATAAAAATGTACTTAATTTGAATACTGGGATGGTTGTTTATGCATGCTGAGAACCGCTGCAGGATAAAAAGTGTAACCAGCAACTGATATCTTCATGTATCCACTGAAGAGGCCTAAGGAAAAAAGGCGAAATGCATTTGTAATGTGTCAATTATATAATAAAGTCAATGGTAATGATAAAAGTTGAATTTATTTCTTGTCACTTATTTGCCGGTTTTGACCTGTAGAATCCTCGAAGTCGGAAGTAGAGAAAGTATATTTTTACTTGTTTTTAACTGAAAATATTTATTTTAGTGCTTTATTATATATACCGATCCCATTAGTTTCTAATTATAGACTTTTATATAATGACATTTTAATTAATTATATATTGAATATTGTAATGTTTCTTAGTTAATACTTTTAAAAAATTCAAAAAAAGATCATTTTAATTTAAAACCAGTTTTGCTTACACCTTTCGATAATTCTACAATAAAAATTAAATATAATATTCCTTCAAAATTTTCATCTGTGAATACTTTTATTTACTTTTAAATATTGGCTTCGAATGAATTTCGCTGGATATAATTAACATTCATTTGGCTTTCGTCTGTTGTGGATCCGAAGGTGTTTAATTAAGGTTGATCTGTGTGTAAACTTCTGTTTACACTTGTCACAACTATAAGGCTTTTCACCACTGTGGATCCGAAGGTGTGCAATTAAGTTTGACCTTTCTGTAAACTTCTTTTTACATTGGTCACAACTGTAAGGCTTTTCTCCAGTGTGAATGCGAAGATGTGAAATTAAGTGTGACTTCTGTGAAAACTTCTGTTGACATTCGTCACAAGCATAAGGCTTTTCACCAGTGTGGATCCGAAGGTGTTTAATTAAGCTTGATCTTCTTGTAAACTTCTTTTTACACTCGTCACAACAGTAAGGCTTTTCTCCAGTGTGGATCCGAAGGTGTTCAATTAAGCTTGATTTTTGTGTAAACTTCTTTTTACACTTGTCACAACTGTAAGGCTTTTCTCCTGTATGGATTCTTTCATGAGTTTGCAAACGTTGTTTAGTTGGGAAATTCTTCTTACAGTGTTTACATGAAAATTTTTTTTGGTTCCATTTCTCTGTAATTAAAAAAAGTCCTTTTTAAGTAACATTTTATCCATGTATAACAAAGTTTTTTTTAAATATGAACAATAAATAAATCATTAATAACGTTTATTTAAATAATTTTTATATCTAAAGGCAAATTTCTGCATCAAAGCACAAAGAGTAATTTTAGAGATAATAATGTTCAAGTGTTATTATACAATATCACGTTACTAATATTTTTAACAACAGTTAATCAGGGACGACATATGAAAGTAAACAATTTCTGTAAAACATTTTTGTACTGTAATCTTCATGAATTCTCTTCTTATATATCTTTGCAGTGGATCGCCTGCTTCTTTTATATTTTAATCGAAGTCCACCGATGTAAGTAAAGCAGTGTATCTAATATACAATTGTGTTATAATCTTAGACAATATTTTCTTCAAAATTTCATCCAATGTTTCATCCAAAGAAAATCTGAAAATAATAACATCATAAACTCATTTAAATTTAAATTTTCATATAACATTAGAATGTATTATTCATATTCTTATTCATTCGTATTGTTAAATGTAAAGTTGTATAATACGTTACATNGAATAAGATGTCAAACATTATCAGTGAAAATTCGCCCAGGGACCAATTTAAGATCGCCGGCGTTGTATACAGAATGTCATGTACATGTGGAAATCCAAATTATTACATCGGAGAAAGTGATAGATTGGATTTGAGAGTAAAGGAACACGAGGCGGCCATTAGACTGAGAAGGACAGAAACAACAAGGTTTTACATTGTAGAGAATTTAATTGTAATATAAATAGAAAAAATACTAATATATTGTATGAAATAGAAAATTGTTTAGAAAGAAAAATTGTCGAACATTTTTGCATCACCGAATATAAAAATGTACTTAATTTGAATACTGGGATGGTTGTTTATGCATGCTGAGAACCGCTGCAGGATAAAAAGTGTAACCAGCAACTGATATCTTCATGTATCCACTGAAGAGGCCTAAGGAAAAAAGGCGAAATGCATTTGTAATGTGTCAATTATATAATAAAGTCAATGGTAATGATAAAAGTTGAATTTATTTCTTGTCACTTATTTGCCGGTTTTGACCTGTAGAATCCTCGAAGTCGGAAGTAGAGAAAGTATATTTTTACTTGTTTTTAACTGAAAATATTTATTTTAGTGCTTTATTATATATACCGATCCCATTAGTTTCTAATTATAGACTTTTATATAATGACATTTTAATTAATTATATATTGAATATTGTAATGTTTCTTAGTTAATACTTTTAAAAAATTCAAAAAAAGATCATTTTAATTTAAAACCAGTTTTGCTTACACCTTTCGATAATTCTACAATAAAAATTAAATATAATATTCCTTCAAAATTTTCATCTGTGAATACTTTTATTTACTTTTAAATATTGGCTTCGAATGAATTTCGCTGGATATAATTAACATTCATTTGGCTTTCGTCTGTTGTGGATCCGAAGGTGTTTAATTAAGGTTGATCTGTGTGTAAACTTCTGTTTACACTTGTCACAACTATAAGGCTTTTCACCACTGTGGATCCGAAGGTGTGCAATTAAGTTTGACCTTTCTGTAAACTTCTTTTTACATTGGTCACAACTGTAAGGCTTTTCTCCAGTGTGAATGCGAAGATGTGAAATTAAGTGTGACTTCTGTGAAAACTTCTGTTGACATTCGTCACAAGCATAAGGCTTTTCACCAGTGTGGATCCGAAGGTGTTTAATTAAGCTTGATCTTCTTGTAAACTTCTTTTTACACTCGTCACAACAGTAAGGCTTTTCTCCAGTGTGGATCCGAAGGTGTTCAATTAAGCTTGATTTTTGTGTAAACTTCTTTTTACACTTGTCACAACTGTAAGGCTTTTCTCCTGTATGGATTCTTTCATGAGTTTGCAAACGTTGTTTAGTTGGGAAATTCTTCTTACAGTGTTTACATGAAAATTTTTTTTGGTTCCATTTCTCTGTAATTAAAAAAAGTCCTTTTTAAGTAACATTTTATCCATGTATAACAAAAATTTTTTTAAATATGAACAATAAATAAATCATTAATAACGTTTATTTAAATAATTTTTATATCTAAAGGCAAATTTCTGCATCAAAGCACAAAGAGTAATTTTAGAGATAATAATGTTCAAGTGTTATTATACAATATCACGTTACTAATATTTTTAACAACAGTTAATCAGGGACGACATATGAAAGTAAACAATTTCTGTAAAACATTTTTGTACTGTAATCTTCATGAATTCTCTTCTTATATATCTTTGCAGTGGATCGCCTGCTTCTTTTATATTTTAATCGAAGTCCACCGATGTAAGTAAAGCAGTGTATCTAATATACAATTGTGTTATAATCTTAGACAATATTTTCTTCAAAATTTCATCCAATGTTTCATCCAAAGAAAATCTGAAAATAATAACATCATAAACTCATTTAAATTTAAATTTTCATATAACATTAGAATGTATTATTCATATTCTTATTCATTCGTATTGTTAAATGTAAAGTTGTATAATACGTTACATTTAAATAAAAAGAATATTGTATATTTAAAAAAACTTATAATAAGTATACTTTCCTCATAACTCATTCTCGATAAGAAAAACTCACAACGTAAGAATTTGTATTTCACCCTTGCCTAACATTAAATGATGAATTTCATTTTTGCGAAATTGAATTTCGTTCTTCTCATTGTCAGTTTCTCTTTTCTGTATTTTCAGGGTGAAGATCAGCTAAATGGAAAAAATAAAACGATCTTACATATTAGACAAATTTATTTTCAATCTTATTGTGTACAGTGAATAAAATTTCTATTCTCTACGCTAAATTATTTAAAATATATAAATTCTATTCTAAATTAATTGATATTTACAAATGAATATTGTATACATTTAGTAATATACCAAAAAATTTTTTAGTGATAAAGTATCATTAGGGAATTTTTTGAAAATTGTTTTAAAAAGTTATTTATAGGAAAAACATCTATAGAGAATGCTAATGGTACGTAAAAAAATAACTAAATTAAAATAAAACTATGGTTTATTATTGTGAACGTTTACATTGACTAACTACCCACAACATGAAACAGTGAAGAAAAGATTGAGTTGAAGCTTGAAATATTTTGAGTCGACTGCAAATTTAAAATCTTTGGTTTTGTTGGTCGAACTGTAAACAGAACAACAATTGGCATAAGCTTTTTCTTAAACGTAGAGTAAGAAGTGTTAGGTTGTCATCCGTGAACACTAGGGATTGTAAATTTACCGACTTTCTCATTTACCGGTAATTCGGTAAACGAAAATTAAAATACCGGTTTACCGGTAAATTTTTTTCCTGAAAAATAAAATTAAGGTGATAAAAAATATAAGTAATTTTGATTTCCATTTCACATTTTTTTATTTCGAAGATATAGAATATAAAAAAATATAAAACTTAAAGTGTTATTCTAAACACACTATAATAATACCTTTTAGAAACATGAATAAAATAAAACAGAAATAATATATAGTACCTAATACCATTTTATTGTTTACCATTTTTTAAAAAATAACTTCTCAAGAAACTTAAATTATTTAAAGTCTTATCTCCTAATTTTGATCTAATTTTTGTATAAAATAATCCAGATTAGGTTAGGTTAGGTTTCTAGACTTTTTCGGACAGAATCTTTAAGTAATAAAAATTTTTCCAGCATGTTTAGTAAGCTATTCCACCTGGTTCTAAAATCTAAAATTAAAGAAAGTTTTTTTCGTGAGAGTAATGGGGATTCCCCACGAAAATAAGGTTAGAATAATATATATTTGCACAATCTTAAGGCATAATGTTAGAATCTTGTAATAAGTATTTGTATTTAATTATTTTAAACAGTTGTTAGAAGTAAAAAAATTATTTAAGGTACAAATTTTAATGTTATTTTGCAATAATATTGCATTAATGTCCTGTCATAATGTGGTGTATTCAAAATTGCTATTAATTTAAAAAATACGTGAAATATTTACGTATTATTATTTTTAAATATTAAAAAAAGAGATATTTACTTACTCTTTAAGAAAAACGTTGATTGCAAAGATTTTAAACCTTTAAAAATCTCAAAAAACGGCAGAGTACAAATCACATATGCTAACTAGAGCTTTCTGTACAATTTCAGTGCCTCTCAAACCCGAGAAAGTTTAAATTAAAATTAAACAGAAAATATCTCACATAAAATTAATAATTAGGTATATTGTTGATTATACTTATCTGTATTTTTTTTCAATGTCCCTTTAGCCCTTTTAAATATCTATAAACACAATATTCTCTATATAAAAATTTCTAGTATGAATTTTTTCATTTACTGAATTACTGGTAAATTTTTGAAATTTACCGCTAAGTTTACCGAATGTTTTTTTTTTGTCAATTTATTGGTTAACCGGTAAATCGGTAAACCAATAATCCCTAGTGAACACGCCATATGTAGATAAAAGACGTGTATTTAATGATGGAAATATGTATAAAGAATGTCGATATATTTCATTAGGAAATGTAAAAACTTCCGCTGGAAGACTACGTATCTCGAATATCTTACATTTTTATCACGATAATGATCCAAAACATAAGTCTTATAAAGTGGCTGCTGTACTTGTACTGTTGCCAAAAATGATTGAGTTACAAACTTTAAACCGAAATGCAATCGGATATTTATAAAAGAAGTTAGGAAAATCGGAGAGTCATAAATTAATAACAAAAATGAACTGAAAAGTACGTTTGAACAACAATGATCAGAAAACTGGTGAACACCAAATAAAAACTATTAACGGACAATCACTGCCAAACAGATTAAACGCTGGGTTAAAAAGAAAAACAATCTAACAAGTTATTGAAAATTTCAATCTTTTAATTTAACCAAATTTTAAATTGAAGTAATTTCGTTTTCACATAAAAAAATTTAGCAACGAGTTACGTATTTTTTCCGCCAATAACATTTAAAACTGCTTTGTTATATTTTATTAAAAAATTGTATAATCGATTAATGTACCGAGTCAATTAATGTAACTGCCCAATAGTAACGATGTTTGAAATTTAGATTATCAACGAATTCACTGTTATTTAAATTTAGAAATAGTTTTCATAAACATATTAATAGTTAAACTTTTTTCTCTAATTTTCATTCATGTTTCATGTTATAATAATAGAGGAGAAGGTGGTATTATGGAACCCCAATTACATTTTAGTGAATTGTAAACAAGGTATCATAACTACACCCACATTTTTTGTGCGAAAAGTACTGGTAACTAATAAACTAAGTGTTCCTAATTGGATTTTTCGCTAGTGTAATTATAAGTATGGTTTTTGAAGGCTTTTGTACAAAAAGTCCGAAAGTAGGCTTAGAGAAAATCGGGTGGTAATATGGAACCTTACTGTATATTTTCAAAAAAATGCTTTAATGTAGCCAAAAACAAATAGGAAAGGACAAAAAATGTTAAATAATTACAAAATTATTTACTCCAATGTATTTTATCGCAAAAATGCTTTTATAATAGAAAAATATGACCTCCATCAACAATATATATTCCAGCAGCTCTTTTTCGATATTCTCAGGAAGAATTGGCTTTCTACCTAGTGTCTTTTTCACAAATTGCTCTGGAGGAATGTCTGCTTGCAAATAGAAAGTTCGGAGGAGTTGAGTTCCATATTACTGTAAAAGCACCAATGGGGTCCGTATTTCACGCATCGCCATCTCGAATTAACTTATGTCTGTCAAGACCAAAATTTAAAAAACGTGAACATCACACAGATTAATATGTACCCCTAAGTCTCTGGAACGGAATACATGCACCAGTGAACCTACAACTACACGATTTATATTTTAAAAATAATTAAATTCACTTAGCATTCAAAACTTGTGAATTTTGAAAAAAACAAATTTTCTGATTAAATGCGAACAACTGTTTAACTGAAGTAAAACGGGTTTTCCCCTTGCTATGGATGTCTGCCTAGTTCACTTCAGCCACATTCCACTACAGTTCGCCTTTATTATCAGTTCGAAATGGGGTGGTTCCATAATACCCGCAGTGTTCCATAATACCACCTTCTCCTCTAAGAGTTTTAGCTAGAGATTGGCAATAGAAAAACGTGGCAGACACAAAAATTCGCTGAACTTTGGAGACATCACCTGATAGATCATAATACACTATAGTATTTTAACTAGAAACGAATTATTGTTATTATTATCGACTATATGGAACAAAAAAAAAATAAAATAAAATAAAACCGCTGGTTAACGACAATAGTTCTATCATAATATAGCCTATATTGTGATGATAAATATTAATCAGATGCAACATAAAATGTCTAATGTCTAGATGTGAGGAAATATTATACAATTTTGTTTACGACATGAGAGATTAGGCCATTTAAAAGTAAAGCAGATTTATTAGATATTTATCGCATTACCATATGTTATTAATGTTGATTTTAGTCCATATTTAGAATGGAATGATGTTTTTTTTATGTTCCTATTAATGGTGTCTCCAAAGTTCAGCGAAATCTTCGCAAAAGGAATAAGTTATGAGGAAACACGTCAGAGATGGGTTGTAACGTGACCGAATAGCACCTATAAATGTCACGTGACACGTTTCGTACGCACCACCCTCTGATGTGACCGTTCCGCGACGAAAACAAGCTTAAACAATGGCATATTCCAATGGCGCACACTCGGTTAAGTATTTCTAAATTTTTTATTTATCGCATATTTTATATGGATTATTCCCCAAAAAATTACACGTGTTTTGGAAATGTTTCAGTGAAATTACTCTAGAATAGACTAATTTCATGGAAGAAAACCTTTCAAACGGCCGTACCCCTAAACTGCACAAGTGCTCATTATTGTAATGAAACGCTTATTTCTACA